ATTTACCTGTTTTCGTCAGATATTTCCGTTGGAGAAAGTGGTATTATAATTGGGAAGGCCCCTTTACAATCGAGGAGATGTAGAACACGAAAATCCTAACTCACATAATGTAGTTGCTGTGACCAGGGGGCAACATCACCCCTTGTATTACTCGAAAATGTGGCTAGGCAAACCAATGTGTCTCAAGAACTCGTAAATGCCACTAGAGAAGGAGTGACATCCAAAGATCTGACACGTTACTATACTAGACATGGTATAATTATAATATAACGGAAAATATAAATATCTATTAGTCTAGAGTTGTTATGCAAACTGTACCTATATATTCATATAATAATTATATGTATATGATACATTTCTTATAAATTTTAATTTAAAAATATAAATTCTCTTATAAGATCATAATAAACCCTATATATATAGTCATCAAATAAAATAAGTATTAAAAATATAAAATTATAATATTACTCAACAAAACAAATATGATATTTCTATTTTGACATGCGAATCACAAAACACGTCCTTCAACCTAATCTTAATTTTTACTCATATTAAATATGATCGTAAAAATTCAATATAGGAAAACGTAAGGGTAAACTTGTAAAAAAAAGTCATATCATCAAATATAAGAAGCAATCAACTTCAAACAACATGCAGAATCTTATCAACAAATAAGCTTTACAACTTAAAAGTATAATAACAACTTTCACAACTTAAATAAAGCAATTTATCAACTTTAAACAGCTTAACAACTTAAACAATTTATGCATCATTATTCATTTTCAACTTTAAAGATCTCCTACAATATGTAATGAGCGATTTAAATGACTTGACTCTATCGAACAATAATAGTTGACATGGTGACCAAAATGTAATTTATTTTGGTTTCTCAAGTTTTATTATTTACACTAGGAAAGTCCAATAATATTATTAAAAATATAACACTTGGATATAAACCCACCACACCATTAGCATGCATTATCTAAGTCTATTTGAAATTAGTTTGTCAACTAACTTCTAAATATTTGGAATCAACAAAAATAGGAAAGAAAAATGAAATAAGTTTTTCTAAGTTAAAATTAAACTAATATATAGAGTTCTCTCTTGTTAACTTTTTCAAAGCATAAGTTAATTTTAATTTATTAAAGAAATTATTTTATTTTTATTTCTATTTTTAAAAGTATTTATAGAGAAACTTATCTAAATAAAGTCTTAATCTATATAAAATAAATGAATTTCAATTTTAGTTCCTTAAAATAAATTATTTATTTTTATCATCTAAAATTTGGATTCATTTTTTTTGGTCTTGTAAAATAAGTATATTTTAGTTTTTATCTAATGTGAAATTTTTTCTTTAATTTTTAGCCCTAAAAAATCTAAATTTATTATTTTTTATCTTAATATTTATTTAAAATTAAATAAATAACATTTATTTTAAAAATTTATATAAAAAAATATGACTATCATATGTTGATATGATGTCACATGGTCTTCTAATATAATCACTTATTCTTTCAATAAATACATAAATAGTTAACGACCAGGATAGATCTTCTAAAAAACCAAATATATATATTAGCTTTTGTTAAAATTATCTAAAATTAAGGAGGTAATTCATAATGGGCAAATACATCTTATTATTTGAAAATAGAAATATCATATATGTATATGAGGTTTTAAATAAGTAATGATTTTGTTCATTGCTTATTTGTATTACCTTTAAGATGTAGTGGGGTTTATAGGTGTCATAAACATGATGAATTAACTTTGATTGATTTGTAAATTTTAATTGCAGAAATTGTTCATCTTTTATTAGTAATTTTTTTTTAATATTTTGAAATTAAACTATTAATCTCGAGCATGAAACTCTATAAATATTTTTTTTATATAATTATTTTCTTAGATGATTACATGATTACAATGTGGAGCATTTGGTATAGAATAATTTTTTTTCGTGTATGAGAATCATAAATCTTGAAAATTATGATTCCTAATGATCATGATTTCTAGGAACCATAAAAATATATTTAGTTGTTCATAAATATTTTTGAGAATATTTTTAAATATTACTTGATAATACAATATTTTTACTATATTAAATAAGTAAAATAAATGTAACATAATGTTCTTACTACGTTAAAACTCTATTTTTACTGTAGAAAGTTAGTTTCTTACCTTTTTATAGAAATAATTTAGTGAAAGTTTATACAAAAATCATTTGCACGAAACAATGTTTTTAAGAATGTTATTTTTAAAATAAGTTTATGAAAAAGTAAAATTTTAATACCAAACATCACCTAAATCTTTCGATTTTTCTATATATATATATATATATATATATATATTATTTATAAGTTAATTTCAGTAAAAATAAATTATAATATTTTTAATTTTAATTTCTTAATCATTATTATTGAAGATTGTAAAAATATTTATTATTATTGGATAAAAATAAAAATAACATTTTAATTGAAATTAATCTCCACTCATTTTCATTTGTTATTTGTTACTACTACTTTTATATGGATAATTTTGTGTCAATACTACACCGTAAGTGTTTACTTTTTTTTCTTTTTGTTAACTAATTAAGTTTTTTACTTTTGATAAAATCAAAATACCTATCACTATTTTTAAATATTAATAATATTTATTTCACATTATATATTCCATTAATTAAATATTTTTATAATATATTTTCTTCTACATATTTCAAACTCATTTTTTATATGCCTTTTATTTCGTTATTTTATAGGAAGAATTGTACAATCTAACTTAAACCTTCCAATTTTTGTTGTAGATTTTTCATGTAAATTTTTTTTTATAAATTTTGTGATTTCTGTTGCTGTTTTTTTTTTTCTATTTTAAATTTTGCTATTATTTTGACAAAAAAAACACATTATTTCCTTAGTTCGTATACAAATTTTGTTTTATGTATAAAACAAAATTTAGTGTATCTTGCATATTATTTTTAAAAAATATTTTGCGGATAAATTCTCTATTTTCTTTTAAATATAAAGAGTGTTATTAATAAAGTAGAATATATAATTAATATCATAAAATTAATTAATATTTGAATAATATATTTAAACTCTTAACATACCCATACAAAATTATATAAAAAATAATCACATTAATTTATATATTAATTATGATCTTAATTATTTTGGTAGATTAAATATATTTATTCCAAATTGTAGAAAATAAAATATATTTTTTTCAGAAAATAAAATAAAATATATTAATTTTACATTGAGTAATTATTTAAGCCATTTTAAAATAAAAATGAAGTCATTTTATGACCTCTTCAACTAAAATAGTCTTGGTAACACTGAAAAGTCAATAGACAATTTTGGCGGGAAAAAACTAGAAAGTAAGGCACGTGATAAACAACATTAACCCCGAAATATAGGCACGTTCTCACAGCGCAACTCTCCATTAAATACTCTGCATCCCAACTGTCACTCCCTTTTTTCCTCTCTCTCTTCTAAACACTTTTTAAACTTCAACTTTTTACTTTTTATTTTAACTAATAAAAAATTTCCAAAAATATATCCATGACAATATACAGAATAATATTATTTTTTCCACTTTTTACTATTATATTATATTTTTATTTTTTACTCATATATATTTAAAGATCAAAATAAAAAATATATTTTAGACAATAAAGATGAATATATTAGAAGCAACATGTTAAAACGATTCTTAAAAATACTTTCACAAAATACATTCGATCGTATTGAATATATAGAGATATATTTAATTAAAAATAATATAATGACAATTAAGAGATTATATAAAAATTTTCTGCTTTTCCTTGTCTGAATCATTGTTTGAACTTTGAAGGTCCCTTTTCCTATTTTTCTTTCTACTCTGACCCTTATCCAAATCATTGGGATAGGTTCACGCGAAACATAACAAGAACTTATTTTCAGGCACAGTCAGTGAAATTTGAAACTACAAGATCGCATGGTCTCTTGAGTTTGTTTAGATGTCAACAATAGAAAAGATAAAAAAAAATTTAAAAAATTATTACTTTTATTTTAAGTTCTTCCTTCTTTATTTGTAAATGTACATTAAAATTTCTAAAAACACTCTCAATTTTATCTAAACATAGCTCAAGTGGCCTTGGCCAAAATGTCTCTTTCCCCGACTAATTTTAAAATTGATTATGTACTATTATAATTTTATATTTAAATGTTTATTCAAAAAATAAGTTTAATAATGAAATCAAAATGCAAAATTGGGCTTTGAATTTTTTTTTTTTGCTGTATACCACATGTACATTCTATTGAAAATAATCATGTTCAAATAAAAGAAAAAATAGAAAATGAGAGTTACTTAATAATAAAATATTATTTTCATATATTGCATGTGACTTTAAGTTACTTAAATTAAAGAAAGTTGTTTATGTAAACAACTTTTCCTTGAGAGTTGCTTAGAATTTGTGTTAACAAAGTAAGAGGATATGAAATATCGAAGAAAAAAGAAATATATTTATGAGTTAAACAATTTCTAGATAAAAACTAGTAATTGAAGTAAAAGTAAATAAATTGTTTAAAATTGAGATAACATGAATGACCTCACTTTAAGAAACAAAATAGATAACTTATTTGATTACCGTTGTTGTAAATGACAAAATTTCCCTTCTAAATATTTAAGGAAACTATGTATCATGTAACCAAGTTTTGAATACAACACTAGCGTAAGTTGAAGCCAGAAGAACCCATACCGTGGATGGTGTTGAATCATTTGATAGTGTATGTTTGGTTATGTATTTCTTAACTTGTAGATGCGTATTACATGTGAAAACACAAAGCTCATAAATAGTTGGTTATGTTATAGTCTTATAGACGTGAATAATACACAGAAATTGAATGTAAAGGCAAAGAAGGCAATAATTTGCACATGCATGGACATGTTAGATTTAGAATAAATTATAGAAGCAAGTCAAAGAGGCGAACCATGTATGTCCCTCCCCAATACACAATACCTAAATCTAGCGGAACAAGAATAAATAATGTTATACTATAGAAATGGAAACAATAAGGAGTCATCATCATGAACATGAACATAAAGCAACAAAAACTTACAAGCACTACTTCCAACATCCACAAAGCAGAGGCTGAAAATGAACCACCCACCCACACTCTCACTCTCAGCACCCCACTTCACACAACCAATTCAACAACAAATAAACAAAACATTCATTTTACAACTTAAGCCTAATTAAAAATTAACAAAAAAAAAATTACACTAAGATGTAACAAAATTATTATAATGTTAATTAATTACTAATTGGTTACTTGGGTGATCCTCTCCCTATCATTTCCTTGTACCTCATGATGGAATCGAGCCTCTGGAGTTTGAGCTGCTGCTTGAACCTGTTGATGAAGTCGTCGGCCTTGGCGTCGACCTCGTGGTCGTCGACGGCGGCGCCGGTCTCTCTCACGGTGGCCGGACGGCGAGTCTCGACGATGTCCTCCTCCTTGAAGTGCGAGAACGCGGACTTGCTGCTGGCGGACTTCTTCATCTTCCGCGGCAGCTTCACCGGAACCTCGCCGGACGCCGGCTTGGTGTCGGAGTGGGTCCGGGAGAAATGACCCTCTTGCCCCTGCTGCAGCTTGCTGTAAATCTCGTCCAGCGAAGAACCCGAACCCTGTTCTTGCTCGGGGGCATAATCGTAATTGCGGTCGTCGACCACGTAGACATCGTCCTCTTCTTTGTCGTCGTCGTCGTCGTCGTCGGCGTCGGTTTGGGGGGGTTGATGTTGTTGGGGCACGTGCGGGTTGTGGTCGGGCACGTGCGGGGGGAGTTTGTTTGTGGGGGGTTCGGTGGGGAAGTAGGTGTAGAGGTTGATGGACTTGAGTCTTTGGAGGAGGGAGGGGGATCTGGGGAGTTGAAAGTTTTCATTTTGATGGGATTGGGGGAAATGGGTGGTGTTGTAAGGGTTTAGGGGTGTGTGGGGAGAAGGGTAGAAGTTGATGGATTTGAGTCTTTGCAAGATGGAAGGGGATCTAGGAAGGTCATTATGATGATGATGATGATGAGGGTGTTGTGGGTGATGGCGTTTGTGGGAGTTGGCAAGGTTTGAGATGATGAAGATGGTTCCAATGACTAGTTGGAGGAGGAGGAAGAAGACTGTGGGGGTGAACCAGCTGTAGAGGGTGGCCAAGAATGTGGGGGTGGCTGAGACCGAGTCTTGAAGCATGGTGTTGGTGTTGGTGTTGGTGTTGGTGTTGGTGTGTTGTGGGTGTTTTGATATTTATGAGGGCTCAGGGCTTGGGGGAGAGAGAGGGTGGGTTGATTGATAATTGAGGGGGTTAATAGTTAATGGAGGGTATGGGGGTGGATTTTGGGGGTTTTAATGGAGGGAGAGATTCGCATCTCGAGAAACACGTGGTGCCATATGATGGGTCTGCTGCTAAGGGACAAAGTTGGAGGTAGATTTCTGTAACCTCTTCTTGGATTTTCGGATACTCATTTCACCCTTGACTTCATTTAAGAGACCTACCAATTCAATTTCAACCTATATCATGTAGGATCATGGATCATGGATCATGGATCGCGGATCATCCAATGCCCATTGCTCTCTCCCTCTCTTGTTTTACCACATTACACAACCTCATTTGTAGTATTGTGATAATTGTTAATTTAATGAATTTTTATATATAATAAAAATTAAACACTACCTTTTTATTATATAAATTATTCTCAAAATGTATCACCATAAAATGTTCAACTACTATATTAGTTTATTGAATTTTGTGTGTTTTTTTATAAAAAAAAATAGATTATACATAGAAAGTGTATGATAAGTTGATTAATTTTTATAATAAATAACTAAAAAATATCATACTAGCAATGATTGATTGACAATTTAAAAGTCTTTTATTATAGTCAATGTTTAATCATTAATTCTTCTTCTTATTATTATTGATGTCTTTTGAAAAATATATTTGAAGTTGAAGGAAAGTATGAGTGACTTTTAGTAATTATGGAGATAGAATGAGATTAAAAAATGTCTATTACAAAACTATTATATATATATATATATATATATATATGAGGGGTTATAATTATATCGATGTAATTTTTACCAAGTATTACACTGCTTAATAATTTTATATTAATTGTAAATTTTATAAATCCAACCATTAGATTGAAATTTTATATCACTATATACGTGTACATCAAATTTTGTTAAAATTGAACAATAACTTGAAAGTAATCAAAATGTTCATATTTTAGTATATTTTGAAATGAATATATTACGTCAATTTTGTTTTATAAAGTTTTATATATGATTTAAATGATATCAAATCATCTTAGATTAATATAAAGTTTTATATATGATTTAAATGATATGAATTTTCAATCTAACGGTTGAATTTACAAAATTCACAATTAATATAAAGTTATTGAATTGTGTATATATATATATATTATTAGTAAAATATTTATTAGAGTAATGAGTCATTCATGTTAATGATGCTTTTCTTTTCATTATATTTTTATCAATAAAAATTTACAATGATGATAATAAAATTTAAATTTTAAAAATATCATATATATTATTCTAATTATTACTATTAAATCAATTTTAGTAATAAAAAAAAGTTCTAACTCTAGTAACTCCTATATATATATATTTTCATTTACTTATAAAACTTGAAATGAAAATTTCATTTAACAAGTTGGATTTCGATTTCGTTCTCCGTGTGAACATGTTAGATGTGTGTTGGTGTGGTGTGTTTACTTGTTGAAGGATTTGGTTATTGAATTTTTGTTAACTTTTGGGGCGTTGGACACGACAATAAAAATATAACACTTGCTAAAAACATTACAGTAAAATATTATTTTCCTTGTCTCTCTTCGCTTATCCATATGGCTGGTTCGGAGAAATGTTAAAGACAATTTTTAAATACTTTTTTCATATCTTTTATTTTATTTATTATAAAAATCATAAAAATGAGTGAAATTTATATTTTATTTAATGAATCTTTTATAGTTTTACAGTTCTTAAGAAAATTTAATTAATAAAAATAGTATATCTACTCCCCATTGCGTACTGTTTTCATTCATTAAATTGCATTTAATGCTTTACATAAAAGTCAATGCATTATTGCCTATACACCTTTGTATCGTTTGACAAAATACAGCAAATTAAGTAGGATCGTACCCAATTACTCTCTTCACAGAAAATGTTTAAAAGCACATTAAAATATATACTTGCAATATTATGTAAACGTATATGAAAGAGTTGAAAGAGTTGATTGTATTATGTTAATGTTAATTAGCTGGGCAATTGTATTAGTTAATTAAAATTGTTACTTCTGATCAGTTTGTTGGGAATGTTTGTTGGTTATCAACTACCTCTCAAATAAACTCTATAAATAATGTTTATTCATACTTATATTTGCATTTTTTTTCATTCAATTAATATAATGACATACTTTCATGGAAATTTCTATTGATGTTTCACCTTACTAAATCGAGAAAAAAAGCTAGTATTTTAATATTTGCATAAATTCTAAGCTTGAGATATTTAGTAATCATAAGAGCCATAAATATCTTTTGACCAAAGGAGCTAAATTATGAGACAAAAGAGATAGTTTAAATTTCTGGAGGACTAATATTTCAAACTTAGTTGTTATTTGAGTAAAGCCATTATGGTGACCAATGTTTTGAGTAGGATGTAACAGCCCAATTTTCAATGGGTCGTAGGCCCAATTCGTTGCCCAGAACGGGCCGTTTCAAAAGTGAAACGAGCTGTTCTGGAATAAGTTAAAGGCCCAAAATTTAAGAAGCAGAACGGGCCGTTCTGGAGGGAGAACGGGCCGTTCCGATTTGGAGAACGGGCCGTTCCGGAGGGAGAACGGGTCGTTCTGCTGGGATTGGGAACGGGCCGTTCTGGTTTTGGAACGGGCCGTTCCAGTTCAAAAATTTGCGTAGGTTTGAAGGGTCCAGAACGGGCGTTCCACTTTTGGAACGGGCCGTTCCGGTAGGTGAGCCTGAAATCCTATAAATAACGCCCCTCACCTCTCATTTTCACACATCTCTCATTTTCTCTTCCTATTCTCTTCTGCTCTTTCTTCTTCCCCTCTTCTTCTCTCTGAAGACCATGGGGCACTTAGAGGAGGAGACCAAGAGATCCCTGTTGTAGTTTCAACT